TCCCAGGTGTGACTCTTGTGCACACCTTTAGACTCCACTGGTGAGCTCTGCCAGAGGCTCTCTTAGCTACTCTTACCTAGTTCTCAGCCTTGCATTGTGCAACTCCTACAGGGAGCCTTGTTCCTAAGGTTTGCATCAGTGACTGCACTGTCTGCTTCAGTTTGAGCTAGAACTAACCAGAAAGGCAGGGCCAAGCTCTTGGCAAGAGGGTTACCTGTTCTTTTTTGACCTCAGCTCCATTCATGTGTCATGAACTAAAGTAGGTGCTGAGGACACAAGACAGCCTCTGGCTCCCCTCAGGACCTTCTCTGATCTCTTAGTGCCCTCAAGATAATGCTGTTCAATAGAATTTAGCCTGAGGATTAGGGGTCTGGACAAAGATGAGGAAATGGATTCATTCCCCAGAGATGAGCCCACCACTGCCTTCTGGACTTCAAATTCCCCCCACCCTGGCATCCCCTCTGAAGCTTCTAGGCCTCCTCCCAGCATCCCGGCATCCGGTGTTACTCTTGGCTTCGCTGCCCGCCTGTGGCCAGGGACTGAAGGCGCTCTTATTCCGAATAAGGCCAGCTAGCTGAATTTCCAAAGCAAAGATTGTTCCACTTCTTCTCTTCTTCCCTCTTTTGCCCAAATAACACACTCATTTTGTAGAAATGGGGCAGGCAATTCTCACTCTAAGGGCTTAAGTGTTCATGGCGAATAGTAGAGCGGTGGATGAAACTCGGGTGCTGGGAGGGAGGGAAGAAGGTGGTAACTGAAAGGGCTTTCAGTGCCCAGGAAGACCAAAGGGCTGCTATCAAACTAGGAATGTGAAGCCTTTCTCCTTCCCACCCTGTAGTCACCCCACTTTCCCCATCCTCCTTCCTCCCTCCCCCTTTTTATGTTCCCCACCCTCATTCCCTGTCTCCCTCCTCACCCCAACTCTTCCTTCCCGCATTCCCTCCTTCCCTCTATCCTCTCTTCCTTGCCTCTCTTCCTTCACCCACCCATCAGTTCATCCACTCACGCATACATGTTCCCTCGACAGGTATTTATGTAGTGTCTGTGCTGGCCCTCTGCAGCATGGTAAGAATCACATGGAGGCTCTATGGGCTCAGGTATGGAAAGTGAGGCAGACGATAACAGGTCTAGGGAGGAGCCATGAATGTCAACGTCTTGTTGGTAAACCTCTAGGAGAACATTCAGCATGGAAAGCTCCAGGAATCAAGAAATCACTGCTGTCTCCTCTTGACACCCTAGCGGGGAAGAAAATGAACTACCTGAGGAAGTTGCCCTGATTTAAACCCCAGACCAAGCGCTTGCTGTTTGATCATTAATAAATCTCCTTTTTAAGAGTTTGCTAAGATGGATTTATTGAATGAACTATTCTTGGAGGGCTTTTAGAAGCAAAATTGACTAGAAAGTACAGAGAATTCCCCATAAATCCCTTGCCCCTCTATGAACTAACCACACCAGTGCCTCTACATCATCCCATTTGCGGAGGAGACTGCTTTCAGCGTAACTCCTACGGGCTTGGACAAGTACACCACAGCCTCCAGTCTCCATTTTAATGCAACAAAAGCAGTAGATTTTTGTCCTAAAAAAAACCTGTTATCTGTCTTATCTTTAATATTTTTCTTCTTTTTGAAATGGAAAATAAATAATTACAGTCTCACGGGAAGTTCATGACAATAAAGCAAGGTCGAGCACTTAGCTCTAGGCGTGGGCTACTCAAGTTCTGTTCCAGGGAAAAGCAAGAGGCCTCCTAATAGGGCTCTGGCTGTCCTGTGTGCTATGGGAGGGAAGAGAAAACTGGGGGTGCTGGGGCGTGTTTTCTCAAGAGCGCCAGGGGCACACTGTTTCATCGTGCCTGGGTGGCAGGCAACCGGGGGGAGCAGCAGCCTGCAGAGGTGCAGAGACCTACTGGATTGCACCAGACTCTGAGCTGCCCCTGCTCCTGAGCTAACGCATGCCATCTTTATCCAGGCAGTCCCCTAGCTGCTCTTGGCAGGGACTCAGAGAGCTTGCATGAGTCACATCCACGTGGCTGGTGAAGAAGGGGGGACAGCCCATGGCCAGTCCGGGCCACACTGACTTGGAGAAATTGTTCCTGAAAGTCCCTGGCAGGGAGTGGGCTGCTGTGGGGCTGTTAATCTGCCGTGCCAATCAACCAGTAAACAGTCTGTGATGAGAAGCCCAGATGCTCGTTCCTTCTGGAGCCCAGCCATTTTCCAGGTCCAGGTGGGGGCCAACTCCGGGGATCCCCACCTAGGAGCAGGGACAGAGCTGCTGGTCCCTCAGCCCTCCAGCGCCTAGACAGAATACTTTCTCAGAGCACTAGAGTTCTCTACCCAGACGGGTCCTGTCTACATGAGGAGCAAGAAGCCTGAAGGGTAGCCATGGTACACAAATATCACCTCTCACTTGTGGTGGGAGAAAACAGTGGGGGGGGGTCTGTGTGCACTGTCTAGAGACATGGGTGGGTCGTGTGGTGCACTCATTTGGGCACCTTGGTCAGGTTTGTTATCAGGCAGGGGACAGTGGGTTTAGGGGATGCCAGGCACTTGCTGTGGATACACTTAGGATTTATTGACTTGTGTGGGGAGGCCTGAGGAGCCGGAGGATGGAGTGGGGCACATCTGGTGACCTTATTTTCTGTTTTCTTGCTCTCGGTTAAGGCTTTGGCTGTTCTTGGGGCCGGAGGAAGAGGAGAGGAAAACAGGCAGGGGCAGGACAGGGCGAAGATGGAGGCAGGGAGCATAGGCAGGGACAGGGCAGGCTTGGTCCTGAGAAAGCCTCTGCTCGTGGGTGGGGAAGGGCTTTAGTGAGGAAGCAAAGTAAGATCATTGGACACTCAGCAACACGCATGTCTAATAAGGACACACAGTGGCCCTCCTAATGCAGATCCCCACAGAGGTCAAGGCCATGTCCAAGTAGGACGGTAGCACAGCTGTTGACTATGTAGTAAAAGCTCCATGACACAGGAGGGTTTGTGGCGTGGTGCCTTTCAAGACTAGAGGGTCTCGACCCCTAAGATCAAAACAAATGTTCCAAGAAGAACTTGGGTTTTGACCAGTCTAAATGCCGTCTCCAGGCTCCCTCGCACGTCCATGGGGCACCCCTGCTTTAGATGACCAGTTCAGTCCCAGCTTACCCAACCACTGGTAGCTGCCCTGTTCCGTGCCTCCTGCATTCAGACAGAGAGCAGGGAGAAACTCCCGCAGGCTCTGCAATGTGGCAAGCTCTGTGAGCGACTTACGTGATAGCAAACCCAAATCCATGAACGAGAAGTCGCTTCTGGGCTCAGCTTAAAACCTGTCAGTCATTTGCACAGCTCAGGACCCCCAATATTCAGAAAACATTTTTTCTCTCCCCTGTTTAGGGATAAAAACCCAAATTCCTCTCATTTCTTAGGTGGAGCAATTTAGCTCTCTTCATCCTCCGCTGCCAAACTTGGCTCCTGAGCTTGCTTAGCGGAGCCAAACCCCACGGGGAGTTCTGGAAAGAGTCGCTGCGGTTTGCTGAGCAGGCCTCTAGGACAGAGGACATCTGCCTTCCCCAGATCCTGCCATTAGGGGTCTTCACGTTGTTGGCTTTCTTTCCAGGGTAGGATACACATGCAGATACACACGTGTTCACGGAAACACAGAACCCTCTACGCACTTCCCCAGACAGGTTAGGCAGAGTTTCCCCAGCAGCCTCCAGTCTAAGTTAAATCCCCACCCCCAGACACACACTGGTCCTCGCCTTCAGAGCTCCCAGCATTCCTCTCGCTAAGAACTTAGTCATCTACAAAGCCAACATGCCTGAAAGCCTGCCATACGCTGAGTGTTCTTGGAGGGTACAAAGATGACTGCCCGAGGAATCGCAGTCGTGGGTAGAGGGACAGAGAAATAAGCGTGTGTGTGTGTGTGTGTGTGTGTGTGTGTGTGTGAGAGAGAGAGAGAGAGATCTAATGAGATGAGGTGGGTGTCAGCTGACCCAGTTCAGAGGGTCCAGGGAGGGCTGTAGGCTGAGCATTGCCCCACTCACAGAAGAGTGGTAGTGGGAACCACACCTGACCTGACCACCATCGGTCATCTACCAAGCGGTGAACAACACAGACAGGCTTTACTTGGTAAAGAAAATGGTATACCTTGCTACATCCAGAAGAAATTTAAGAGGCGAATAAAGGTGCCTAAGGAGGTGACACTTAGCTGGAAACCTAAAAGAGTAAGAGTTAGCTAGGTGTCTAGGTTAGGGTTCCTATTGCTGTGAAGAGACACTGTAACCACGGTAACTCTTTTTTAAAAAATATTTATTTATTTATTATGTATACAATATTCTGTCTGTGTGTATGTCTGCAGGCCAGAAGAGGGCACCAGACCTCATTACAGATGGTTGTGAGCCACCATGTGGTTGCTGGGAAGTGAACTCAGGACCTTTGGAAGAGCAGGCAATGCTCTTAACCACTGAGCCATCTCTCCAGCCCCCCACGGTAACTCTTATAAAGGAAAAACATAGTTGGGGTGGCTTCCATTTTCAGAAGTTTAGTCTATTATCATCATGGTGCAACATGGTGGCGTGCAGGCAGACATGATACTGGAGAAGTAGCTGAGAGTCCTACATCTTGACTGGCAGGCAACAGGAAGTAGTCTGCCTCACTAGGTGTAGCTTGAGCATATGAGACCTCAGAACCCCTCTCCACAGTGACATTCTTCCTCCAATAAGACCACACCTACTCCAACAAGGTCACATCTCCTAATAGTGCCACTCCCTTTGGGGGCCATTTTCTTTCAAACCACCACACTAGGTGAAGAGGCATGACAATGCATGCTGACAGAAGGAGGAAGCAATTTGTATTGAAAAATGAGAAAGAATTTGATGTCCATGATAAAAAAAAATTATGGAAACTAACATCTTTGGTGTTAAGAGACAGAGGCAAGCAGCATAAAACGAGCCTGGAAAAGCAGACAGGAATTAGCCATGTTCCTAGCACACGCACACACACACACCCCACACGCACGCACGCACAAAGCTTTACACACGCACACACAGGTGCATACACACATATGAACTTGATCCCAGCACAGGGGCATGCAGGGTCAGGGAGAATTTCCAGAAAGTAAAACCTGGTGTTGTTATCTGGGTTTAAGCCTGTGACCCTAAAGAGCTTTGGGGTGAAAATGATTCAGACCAGCACGTACCTAGGCCTGACGGATCTTGTACGCCCAGTCGCTGAGTACTAAAGATAGGACTTAGATGGCACAAACACTGGATGAAGGCACAGGCAGCTGGTGGAGTACCTGCCTAACATGTGTGAGGCCCTGGACTTCATCCTCAGCATTGCACAAAGTCAGTGTAGAGAAGCATGCCTGTAATCCTAGCGTTTGGGAGATGGAGGTAGAAGGATCATAAATTTGAGATCATTCCAACCTTCATAGCAAGTTTGAGACCAGCCTTGGATACATAAGGCTTGCCCTAAACAAAAAAACAAACAACAAACAACAACAAAAATGACAACAGAACAAACCCAAACAAAAGAAAGGCAAATAGAGGCTAATACAACTGCACTCTTGGCACTACCAAGGCCAACACAGGGTCCTGTGTCAGCAGGGTGTCACTGCCTCAGACAGGGACTTGGCAGTGAGGCACTACAAAGGAGGCATTGTGCTGGTGACTTGTCCCATGCTGTGACAAAATACAGGACAAAAGCCACTTCAGGGAGGACTTTCCCGGATTTCCAGTGTGGCTCGTCCCTGCAGGGAAGGCACGGTGACACGGTGACAGCAGGTGAGGCTCCTGGCCACACTGCATCCACAGGCAGGAAACAAAAAGATGAAGTCCCGCATTTTCCCCACTTTCTCCTTCCATTCAGTGGAGGGCCCCAGGTCATGGGACAGTCACCCACCTTCAGGGTGATAGTGAAGAGTGTCCATCTCAGGTTGGTAGGATAGCCCACAGGGATGGAAAGAAGGCCCTGTGGATCCGGGGTGTTCTCAACTTCACCTCAGCTTGGCATTTGGATTTCAGATGACTCTTTGGACTGAGGGCCACTGTGATCCTTTGACTTAAAGGGGACAACAGACACCTGCCAACTTGAACAGAATGGAGTACGTGTAGTTAGTCATGTTAAATTAGCTGATTATAGAAGTGTAACTTACACACTAATGGATGGGAAGCCATGGGAAGCACACACGAGAGGCAATGTCAGCACCAGGATTATGTGTGCAAATGAATTAAGGGCAAAGCACGGCTAAACCCAGAGAGACCAGTTAAGGGGTTATATTGGACAGAAGCCTTGTAGCATCAAATGAGAGAAAACTTAAAAGATCCTCAAACTTGTCATGACATTTATTGTTCACCCACAGAAATGAGAAAACAAGGTATCATTGAAGATACTTGGACTATACAGTGACATCATTAGAATCCAGGCATGTTCCATCTTCTGCTTTACCACCCTCAGCACACTGGCTGTCTATTCTGCTGATTGTCCCCGCTTGGTGGCAGGTACTTCTGCTTCAGACGTGATCATCTTATTCAAAGCAGGAAAACAGAAAACAAAACTTCTCCAGAAGCCCATTATAGATCGGTCTTTATATTTCATTGGTCAAAACTGGGTGGAATTTTTCCTCTAACTGCAAGCAAGGCTAGAAAATTGACTGCGTGTCATAGAGTAGAGGCCAGGCAGATGTCTGGCCTGAAAAAGAATGAAGGTATAAGAAGCAAAACGATAAGTTCTGTGCATTGGCACAGGAGATCACTTCCTAAATATAACCCTAGCAACACAGACACTGAGAGAAACAATTAAGAAATGGGACCTCCTAAAACTGAAAAGCTTCTGTAAAGCAAAGGACACGGTCAACAAGACAAAACGACAGCCTACAGAATGGGAAAAGATCTTCACTAACCCCACATCAGACAGAGGTTTGATCTCCAAAATATACAAAGAACTCAAGAAATTGGTCACCAAAAGAAAAAGAACACATAATCCAATAAAAAAAATGGAGTACAGACCTAAACAGAGAACTCTCAACAGAGGAATCTAAGATGGCTGAAAGATACTTAAGGAAACGTTCAACATCCCTAGTCATCAGAGAAATGCAAATCAAAACAACTCTGAGATCCCATCTTACACCTGCAAGAATGGCCAAGATCAAAAACACTGATGACAATTTATGCTGGAGAGGTGGGGAAAAGGGAACACTTCTGCATTGCTGGTGGGAATGCAAGCTGGTACAACCCCTTTGGATGTCAGTGTGGCAATTTCTCAGAAAATTAGGAAACAACCTTCCTCAAGACCCAGTAATACCACTTTTGGGTATATATCCAAAGGATGCTCAATCATGCCACAAGGACATGTGCTCAACTATGTCCATAGCAGCTTTGTTTGTCATAGCCAGAACCTGGAAACAACCTAAATGCCCCTTGATCGAAGAATGGGTAAGGAAAATGTGGTGCATTTACACAATGGAGTACTACACAGCAGAAAAAAAATAATGAAATCTTGAATTTTGCAGGAAAATGGATGGAGCTAGAAAACATCATTTTGAGTGAGGTAACCCAGAATACAAATATCACATGTACTCACTCGTAAGTGGTTTTTAAACATAAAGCAAAGAAAATCAGCCTACAAACCACAATCTCAGAGAACTTAGACAACAATGAGAACACTAAGAGAAACTTACAAAGATCTAATCTACATGGGAAGTAGAAAAAGACAAGATCTCCTGAGTAAATTGGGAACATGGGGACCTTGGAGGAGGGTCGAAGAGGAGGGGAGAGCCAGGGAGGGGAGCAGAGAAAAATATAGAGCTCAATAAAAACCAATAAAATAAAATAAAAAACAAAAAACTCAAACGAACAGAAAAAAGGATAAGTTCTGTTGGGCATGAAATACCTATGGTCACAGAAGCAGGAAATGACGGCCCAGAGTACAAGAAGTGGATGCTATAGAGCTTAGTTAAAGGATGACGTGGGGGAATGAGGGACCAAAGAAGTCATGGGTTAGGGTACATTCACTAAGACGAAGGACATGGGAAAAGTTACAGGGCTGGGGAAGACGGAATCAGGTGTCTGTATGATGCTACTGTGGAGTTCAGGTGTCTGTATGGATCCGAGTATTAACACGGGCCATGGAGGTGGGTGACGACGCTGGAGCGCAGGATGAGAACTCGAGCATTGTGGGAGCCGCAGGCTGTGCGAGTTTGTTAAAGAAGATGCTTGTGGCTGTACAGGGAGGCGGGCAACTTGGACAAGGCTGGAGAGAGAAAACACAGCCTCTTGATCAAGCCGCATGAGGCATGGCTAATTTAGATGTGAGAGCATGCTGTGCTCCGCCAGGAAGGTTGTTCTCCCTCCTCCCCGGCTCTACTTCTGTTTCTCTTCTGTAGATAAGCCATGCTTGTAAACATTGTTTCACTGTATCTTCACCATTATCCTTGGAAGCAAGTCTATTATTGCCTCTATTAGAGACGAAGAAACAAGGCCTAAGAGTGACCCGTTCTCACTCCAGAGAGGCGCAGCCTTTGAGTAGGCTGTGTACCAGGGCCCAGGATGCTCTGACCTTCCCAGCTTTTGATCTGAGTCCACAGGCAGGGAGAGCTCTCCAGATAGCTGTCAGTGTCTTTCCTCCTGCTTTCTTGGGGTCAATAAGGTGGATAATTGTCTCTTGCTAGAAGCATCTTGCTGATGATAAACAGGGACTAAGTGTTGTTTCCGTTCCTAACAATTCTTTATCCATCGCCTGAGTTACTGTTCTGCAGAGTTAGCTTTGAACACGGGCATGACTTACAGAAGGAAGGAAGGAAATAGCTTTCTTAGGCACCAGTGATGTCAGGGCTGATGTGACACACAACTAAGCATAAATCAGTCTGCTGAACTTCACGCAGGTCTGGAGACCCTCTCCTCTCACCTGGCAGGGCTTAAAGAATGGCAGTTGACATCCACTGGGGCTCAGGGGAGATGTCCAGTAGAGGAGTGAGTGATGAGTCTGCAGAACCAGAGAAGGTGGCCTTTAGGAAGAGTAATGAAACCAGGGGAACATAGACAAGCAAATACAGCACGGTTAGTAAAAACCCAGAGACAGAAATCGGGGTTCAACCTGAAGGTCAGAAAGGCAAACAGCCAGCCACTGGTTCTTACCTCTACCTCAGTCTGAAGTGGCGGTCCTGCCTCCAGGAATCTCAGAATGAGACTGAGACTGAGAGCTGTCTCCTCCCAGTTTATATTCCTCTCTAGTCCTGGGATTAAAGGCGTACAACTCTACCGTCTGGTTTCTGTGGCAAACTAGTGTGGCTACTGGGATTAAAGGTGTGTGTCACCACTGCCTGGCCTGTAAGGCTGGCCAGTGTGGCCGTTTTACTCTCTGATCTTCAGGCAAGCTTTATTTATTAAAATGCAAATGAAATGTCTCTCCAAGCATGTTGTGTGGCCAAAAGGGCAGGTGGCTAGCATCTGTTGACTCCGTCCCAGCCTAAGGCCTGTGGTCTCTTGGGGCCATCTCAGGTAGGGGTGAAGTTATTAGGACTATGATGGTGGCTGATAGGCAGACAGGGCCAGTAGGACATCTCCAGAGCAAGAGGAATGTGACATCTGGGCTTGGACCAGCTCGCGTTTATGAGGGACATAAGGAATTTAGGAGCAGAGTGGAGTCACTCCAGCGTGGTCCACAAGGCCTCAGGATCCTGTCTTGAAAGATTTTATTCACCAAGTTGCATTTATATCAGGTAATTTATTTCTCTATGGGGATGCCATGCTGATAGAATTCTAGCCAAAGGCAAAACACGCAACATTTTAATTTATCCTCTGCAATCTTACCATGTGATAAGAATTTCACTAAGTCTTTGAAAATCCTGAACGTTATCTCTCAGATTTTCTTTGATTATTTGTGAGAACTCAGAAGACCGAGGGGTAAGGGGGGGGGTCTCTTCAGGACCACTGGTCCCCCGTAACCACTGAGGCTCATCTCTTCTCATGTGCTGGAGCCCTGAACCCTTGCTGACCGAGTTGGGGTGTCTTCATCCTGTCCTAGCTGTTTTGTGGATGCTCACACAGCACATTCCTGCCTTGCTTATCTGACAGCCATCCCTTCTCAGTCTTCTCAGTCGCTTCGGGGAGCGACCTTCCACTCCCACCCACCCACCCTTCTCACCTTCCACTCCCACCCACCCTCGTCATCCTTAGCCTTCACTCAGTTACCTGCTCTGTGGCTGTCTGACCCTCTGCCTGGAAAACCTGTCACTAACCTAAGGGACAAGTTCGGGTCTTTTTCCTCAAGTATCAGAATTAACCCATGCTTAATTCTGTTGACCAAGTGCTGCCGAGGCAATGAGCGATGACGTAGGCTTGGAGATGCCAAAGGTTGGGGGAGACAGGAGAGTAGGTATTGATGCAATTCTACCTGAAGGGCCAAGAGAGAAATCAAGGAGCATTCTGAGAAGAGTCTCCAGAAAGGTGAGCCTGGCATGGGAGGGGCAGGATTGCATCCCTCTGTACAGCTACCTTACTTGCGTGACTCTACTTAATGTATAGCCTTTCTTTCTGCCTTCCTTCCACATGTATCTATCAAATGTCTTTGCAGGCCCAGGTAACCGAAGAGGGGGTGGAAAAATGTGAATCAGATATCCTCTGTCATGAAGGCGCTCAGAGGTTAGTGGAAGATGATTGATCTCCTTTAGTCCTTGTCCTATGACAAAGTTCCTTAAAGTTAAATATTCTGCAGCTGAATGGCCCCACCTCTGTGCATCCCTATCCCGTGACATGGAGCCTAAGAGCAGCCTGAACAGGTCTCACCCAGGCCTCCTCAGCCTGGCCTGTGTTCGGTCCTGCCGCCTGAAGATGGTCAGGGTTTTCTCTGTCTGCTCTGGCAGTTGTGGGAATTTCCTGGGTAAGCCTAGAGGCTACTCCTGATGACCTCATCTGCTCCAGGTATCTTCAGGAGAAGTGAGGCTCTGAGGAAGTCGGTGCCCTCACCCTTCCCCTTTTCTGGCAGCCTTAGGAAGGGTGCAGAGAAAACTGAGTTCCATCTGCTTCCCTGAGCTTGTTCCTTCCCGGGAGGGGATGGAGTAGTTCTGCGTGCCTCAGTGTCCCGCGAGAAGCTAGGTCTGGACAAACTGAAGCGGATAACTCGTGAATCCACAGCAGCTTCATGTCCCAAGAGTATGAACTTCCCAGACTAGGTTCTTGGTGAGGTTTACAGCACTGGGCATGTGAAGCAGGCCTTGAGTCCAATCAGACAACAATTGGTTATCCCCATAACGTTCATGCCTCTACTGCTACCGGGGGCATCTAGCCAATCCAGTCATTCTTGCAGGTTTCCGGGTTCATGGCTAGGTAGCACTGAATTTCGCTCCCTCCCACTCCAGCAGGCTACATAACACCTTCCATTAGTATGGAAGTCAAGCAGCAGAGAGGAAGCTTCTCGGTCAGTACCAAACTGATTTCTCTATGTCCTATGTCCAACACGTGTGGAGTCTTCAGCAATAGGGTCTTCTGACCACGTTCTGATGGACATCCAGCAGCAATGGCAATAGCTGTTTGGGAATTCTGTGGGTCGGATGTCCCTGACTAAGCATGAAAGGAAGTACCCCATCCCTGGCACTATCTGTCAGCTTAGGGTTATGGGAGGAACATGTTCTTCTGTGTAGAGCAATCCCAGTTAAACTCTTCTGGGCCGGGTGGAAAGTGGTTAGATCATTGCAGGTGCTGCCCTCAGAAGAGATCAACACAGTGTTCACAGGACCTCAGGTAGTTCCTGAGAGAGTGGGTTATTGGGCAAAACAAGACTGGTCCTTTTTGCCATCTGACTTCTTGTCTTAACACGTGACCTCTCCATCTCACAGGGGCCCTTTATTGGTGTGGGAGAATTGTCTGTAATCTATCAATCATATTTTAAATAAATGCTGATTGGCCAGGCAGAAAGTATAGGCGGGAAAACCAGACAGGAAGTAGAGGTGATGCAATGAGAACAGGAGAATTCTGGGAAGCAGGAAGCTCCCTCCACCATTCCTGCCCAGACCACAGAGAAGCAAGATGTAACCTGCCCCGCTGGAAAAGATACTGAGCTACATGGCTAAAACAGACAAGAATTATGGGTTACTGTAAGATGCAAGAATTAGTTAACAAGAAGCCTGAGCTAATGGGCCAATCAGTTTTATAACCTAATGTAGACTCTGTGTAATTTTGTTTGGGACTTGCTGGCTGTGGGGTACTGGGCGGGACAGAAACCCCAACAAACATGGCCCCTTCATGTTACACTCTATGATGTGACACAGATGGGGGACCCTCATCAGGGTTGACGCAACCTCTAAAGTTGTAAGTTAACAAACCTCTTTACAAAACACCCCAGCCTCAGGTACGCTGTTACAGCCTCGGAAAGCCAGTTGATACATCCTGTTTAGCCTGTCTCGCTATTGAGAGAGACTTTTCTCTCTTCCAGGTCTAATTTGCTGCTCCTCTCTCTTGGCCTCCAGCAAGGTAGACTCTCACGGAACCTGTGATGAGTGACTGAACGTGCCATAGCAACATGGAGAGAGTGTGGGGCTTGTTGTGCCAGAAACAATCTGGAAAGATAGAGCATTAAATAACAAATAAGTACAAAGGTTTGTTTTTCTCCTCTGTTGGCTTCCTGCAGTCCTCATCTCCCTTTGACCTTCTCCGAGGCAGAGCAGTAGGCTGGCTGGAAAGTTAATCAAGATTTATTTGAGGAATGAGGAACTAGAGAAAGAAGAATCTCCTAGAATTTGTTCCCCATTCCTCAGTCTGAACAAGTTGCTCCCGTGGGGGTTAATTTGTGAGCCCTGGTAGGGTAGCTAATTTGCACTGGCTTCCTCTAGACCCCGGCTTGCTGAGTTGTTTACAAAGTGGCTACTGGGGGAAATTCAATTCTTCCAAGAAGCTACCCCTGGGAAAACCCCTCCCAGCACACATGACGGACAAGGAGTACATTAACTTGAGAAAGTGGCTGCTGGCGGGCAGTGGACAAGTTCTGGAAGCTGGTACCAAAGGTGTGTTGTCGTGCCTGGCCCAGGAGTAACCACATGGATCTGGCATTGACCATGTCCTTCTCCTCTGCCATTGCCTGGGGGTGGTGGGGTGGCAGGCAGACGGACTGCAGAATCGGGGGGCTGTTACTTCCCGGGCTTCCGGGCTTGGCAGCTTTGTCAGGCCTTTCTAAGTGCCAGGTCATCGCAACAGGCAGAGCCCAGTGAGTGCTTGGGAAGCAGCAGAAGGGAGGACCTCCTGGGTACATGGGCCTATCCTTAAAAGGCCATGGAAGAGAGAACACGTGGGAACGTCTCGTGGTAGTAAGTCCAAACACTGAAGCTACTAGCCGTGGCCATGAGGAGATCAATTCCGAGATGAAAGTAAGGATCTTGCAAAGGTCGTAGTTGGGATGATCAAGGCAGACTGCAGCCCCACAACCAGTATGGAATGGGCTATGCTGTCTTCGCTTCACAGAATAGGTTGGGGGTGTTCCTCCAGGGGTCACCAGGGTGGTAGCTGTGCTCACCGTGGGGGACAGGGCAGTGCCTGGTCCTTTCCTGATCAGGGCCACAGTGCAGCTCGTAAAGAGATAAGATCATGACATGTAGAGGCCCCTGTGGGCAGAGAGCTGGGATGTGGCTCGTGCCCTGTTCTTGTCACCGGCTAACTCACTAAGTGGCTTTCAGCCAACCTGTCTGACAGTCCTGCACCTCACACTCACAGGAAAGGCAGCCTTTGGCCTGGGAGATGTGGAGGCCTCCCATGCTGACTTACCCACAAGCAAGGGGGTGTCTGCTGGTTTCCCAGCTCCACTTCAGCTCCAGTCTGCCCTCTCTCGCCTCTCCAGACAGGGCCACTTCATCAGATGACAGGGGGCTGGTAAATATACCATCCATGGCCCTTTCTGTGGTCACAAAATTGAACTCAGCATGGATCACACGACCTCTCTCTCCCTCATCAAGACAGAAAGGAGGCTGACAGACTGGCGCCACAGGCTGCATCTCACAAAATGAGACTGACCAGAAATCACTGCCGAGGCCTAGACTTGCGTTTAGAATGCAGCTGCTTGGCTCTGAGCGGTGGAGGTGGAACGCGGAGCGGCTGGCACAGATACGCTGGGCCACTCTCTGTGGACAGTATGACTTCAGTGAGGGCAGAGGCGGATGGGTGCCCTTCGACTGAACAGCTGTCAGCATCCATGGTGTGCTGCGTCCCTACCCTTAAAGTAGCCCGTAGTTAGGCACCACCCAAGAGTTGCCATTTTGCAGAAGGGGAAACTGAGTACCATGTGAACTCACCCAGGATCGCATCATGGTTAGTAAGTGGTGGAGCCAGGATTAAACTGAGGTGGCCCCTGAGCACGCAGAAGCAAGGCGCAGTGCTGGGAACAGATGAGCAGGGACAGCATCGTCTGAGCCCTGAGCACTGTCAGCATCCTTGTCCCCTGGGCTAAGATCACCGCAAGGCTTTCAAAAGAAAAACACATTCGAAAGAAGTCTTCGGAGACGGTGACAGACGAACCCCTCTTCACCATCTTCTCAGATGCTGCAATCTACAGTAAAGGGACCCATCCAAACATGCACCCCCAAATCCATTCCCATACCCAAATACCACCATCACCTGAGGCACACCAAATTTTACACCCCTAAAGTCCAGAGTGCTCTTCAAGACAGGAGACTGTAAGCCTTCCAGCCCCTCCACAGGCTCACCCTTCCATGGGCTCACCCCTGCCGAGGTTCACCCTTCCACAGGCTCACCCCACCACAGCCTCACCCCTCCACAGGCTCACCCCTCCAAGGCTCACCCTTCCACAGGCTCACCCCACCACAGGCTCACCCCTCATAGGCTCACCCCTCCACAGGCTCACCCTTCTACAGGCTCACCCCACCACAGGCTCACCCCTCATAGGCTCACTCCTCAAAGGCTCACCCCTCATAGGTTCACCCCTCCATAGGCTCACCCTTCCACAGGCTCACCCCACCACAGGCTCACCCCACCACAGGCTCACCCCTCATAGGCTCACCCTTCCACAGCCTCACCCCTCCACAGCCTCACCTCTCCACAGCCTCACCCCTCCACAGTCTCACCCCTCCACAGCCTCACCCCTCCACAGCCTCACCCCTCCACAGCCTCACCCCTCCACAGCCTCACCCCTCCACAGGCTCACTCACCCTAACTCTCTATTCCTATCCCACAGCTCCCTCTCCACCCTAAAGCACTGACAGCTCTCACCCTGGGTCCTAAACTCCACACCACTGTTCTCTTCAGCTGCTCGCCCACACCAGCCTACTCTTCACCCAGCAGTCAGTGGACTTGGAAGCCAGTAGGGTCCTGCTGCTTCGTTACCCTAATCCCTTCTTTTCTTCATGCTCTGCTTGGACTATGACCCCTAAGCTCCAATCTGGCCAAAAATTGCAAAATTTGGGCCCACATAAAGAGATCCTGTCATCAAAACAAAGCAGAAAAACCTCCCCAAGCACATATCTGACTATGCATTTATTATAAATCCCACGAGTGTAGGAACCGGTTGGCTTTGCTCACATAGCAAACGCTAGGCCAAACATAGAGGCACATGGAATGCTTCTCATAAATGTTTGCTGAGCAAATGAAGAGCTTGGAGAAGCAGCCGTCTGGACAGCAGCCGTTTGCCCACTGAGACGGGCCATCAGCTGTGTAGTCCCGTACTTCAGTCCTGGGGGCAATTGATTAAGCACTGACCCACTCAAAACACTATGGGGCAGGCGCTGTGATGGCATCTCCTCTATTTATAGTGAGGCTGTTCCAGACAGCCTGAGGAACTTGCTCAAGGCCCCACAGCTGGTAAGGTGTGGAGCAAGCTGGGAGCCAGAGTCCATGTTCTGAACGGCCTATGTGGCTATCTGTTAAGTCTTCTAGACCATTGGCAGGATCATCACCAATGCAAAGGACAGACTCCAGACACTGTGTCAGGCAGCAAGGAGGGAGGGACTTCAGCACGGATAGACACAGCTGCCCACTGTGGTCTCAGTAGCTAGTGTCTAGTCCTCAGCTCTGTCAGGAGAAGAAAACAGACGGCAAGGTGTTGAAGCCCTTGAACATGCTTCATGAATATATCTTCTTGCTGTTCCCCAGGCTGGAATAGCAATGAGGTGCCCAGTCAACCTGAAAATTGTGGGCACAGCCATAGGTGGTTCATGCTAAACCAAACCAATGGTGCCTGTCCTCCATGGCTGACTCTCCAAGTCCCTTTTCATGCCTTCCCACCTCCATGAAGCAGAGCGGGGAAGGAAAAGTCTGAGAGGGAAAGTTGCCAACCAGCAGAAGAAAGGACACATCACTAAAAACAGCAAAGTCCCTTTCTGATTTATGGGATCCCCTCCAAGCCAAGAGTTTGGGGATTAGAATGAAATCTCTGGGCCTCTCTTGCGGCAGCTCCCGGCACCAGGCTGGCCTGCCCGGCAGGCTGCCTCTGCCTGCCCTGGAATTTTTCAAGTCCAAGCCAGCCCAGCTCTGGGACAGGGGTGATGATGGGGATTGGGCGAGCAGAGCTGGAAGTACCCATCTCTCCCACCGAGCTGTGTATGAAGGAAGCCTGAGGGTCTTCTGGGCACTTGTTAGAGGGGCTGGGAAGGAAAGCTCAACCCCTCCCCCATCACCTTGTTCCCAGAGCAGCTGGGTCTGACAGCCAGCAGGAAGCAGCTGCTGTCTCCAGCTGTTTGGTTTCTATCAACCTGAGCATCTCTGTCTCCCGCCCTTTGTGTGTGGCTGCAGATTGGCCTGAAGTCCCTCGTGAACATCTCACAGGGCAGCTCAACCCTGCTGGACACCTACCCTGTAGAAGAATAAAAATAGATCCATATCTATTACCAAGCACAAAACTCAAGTCCAAATGGATTAAAGACCTCAATATAAATCCGACCACACTGAACCTGATAGAAGAGAAAGCGGGAAGTAGACTGCAACACATGGGCACAGGAGATCACTTCCTACATATAACCCCAGTAGCACAGACAATAAGAGCAACATTGAATAAATAGGACCTCTTGAAACTGAGAAGCTTCTGTAAAGCAAAGAACACTGTCATTAAACAAAACGGCATCCTACTGAATGGGAGAAGATCTTCACCAACCCCGCATCAGACAAAGGTCTGATCTCCAAAATATATAAAGAACTCAAGAAACTACACATTAAAATTCTAATTAACCCAATTAAAAATGGGGTACTGAACTGAATAGAGAATTCTCAACAGAAGAAGTTCAAATGGCCAAAAAACACTTAAGGTCATGTTCAACCTCCTTAGCGATCAGGGAAATGCAAATCAAAACAACTTTGAGATACCATCTTACACCTGTCAAAATGGCTAAAATCAAAAACACCAATGATAGCCTATGCTGGAGAGTATGTGGAGTAAGGGTAACACTCATCCATTGCTGGTGGGAATTCAAACTTGTGCAACCACTTTGGAAATCAGTGTGGTGGTTTCTCAGGAAATTGGGAATCAACCTACCTCAGGATCCAGAAATACCACTCTTGGAAATATACCCAAGAGATGCCCAATCATACTACAAAAGCATTTGTTCAACTGTGTTCATAGCAGCATCATTTGTAATAGCCAGAACCTGGAAACAACCTAGATGCCCCTCAATGGAAGAATGGATAAAGAAAGTGTGGAATATATACACATTAGAGTACTGCTCAGCGGTAAAAATCAATGACATCTTGAATTTTGCATTCAAATGGATGGAAATAGAAAACACTGTCCTGAGTGAGATAACCCAGACCCAAAAAGATGTTTATGGTATGTACTCAGTCATTAGTGGACTCTAGCCATAAACAAAGGACATTAAGCCTATAGTAGCCAAATAACAAGGTGAACTCAAAGAAAAACATATATAGATCATCCTGGAAATTGGAAGCAAACAAGATTGCTGGGCAAAAGTTGGGAGCATGGGGGTGAGGGTATGAGTGGAGATGGGGTTGGGGGAAGGGGATAGGGGGAAAGGGAAGGGAGAAGGGAAAGACTGGGGAGAGCTTGGGGGACTGGGAGGGTGGAGATGGAGGAAGGGCGGATATAGGAGCAGGGAAGAAGATATCTACATTAAGGGAGCCGTTTTAGGGTTTGCAAGAGATTTGGCTCTAGAGGGGATCTCAGATGTCCTCAGGGTTGTTCCCAGCTAGGTCCTTGGGCAACAGAGGAGAGGGTGCCTGAACTGTCCTTGCCCGACTATAACACTGATGATTATCTCGAATATCACCATAGAATCTTCATCCGGTGATGGATGGAGATAGAGACAAAGACCCTCATCAGAGTAAGGACTGAGCTCCCAAGGTCCAGTTGAAGGGAAGAAGGAAGAAGAAGATGAGCAAGGAAGTATGGACCACGAGGGGTAGGTCCACCCACTGAGGCAGTGTGCCTGTTCTAATGGGAGCTCACCAAATACAGCTGGACCGGAACTGAACAAATATTTTTTGGGACTTGTTTTTATGGCATGTTCTGGCTTTTTGGGACCCTAGTCTATTTGGATGCACAGCTTCTTAGGCTTGGATGGAGAGGGGAGGGCCTTGGACTTCCCACAGGGCAGGGTTCCCTGCCCTCTCTCAAGCAGGGAGGGGGAGGGAGGAGGGTGAATGGGGAGCGGGAGGGGGATGGGAAGAGGGGAGGAAGTAGAAATATTTGAATGGAAAATTAAAAAAATAAAATAAAAAAAGCAAAGATGCTTACTGTCATGAGGCCATAGGAAGGAGAAATAAGAATGAATGGGGATATTGAAGGAAAAATAAACCGGAAAAGGAAACAAAACAACAACAACATGGAAGGAAGAGGCAGCCAGATGTGGTGGCACACATCTGCAATCTCAGCACTTGGAAGGCAGAGGCAGGATGACCCTGAATTTAAAGTCAGTTTTTAGGCTACCTCAGCTGTTCTCAATCTGTGGGTCGCGACCCAAACAAACCTTTCATAGAAGTTGTATATCAGATACTCTGCATAGCAGATATCCACATTACAGTTCATAACAGCAGAAAAAGTACAGTTACGAAGTAGCAACAAAAGTAGTTTTGTGACTGGGGGTCACCACAACATGAGGAACTGTATTAAATGGTTGCAGCATTAGGAAGGTTGAAAACCACTAGGCTACATAATGAGACCCCCTACCTCAAAAGCAAAAAGAAAAGAAAGGCAAAGAAAGGGGCCAGTGGAAAGGTTTGCCACCCTTCATCACTAGCTGTGGTAGGAAGGTGGGTTCGGTTGAGGTGAAGCAAGAGGGGAGACCCCAGCCTTACTTATCCACTGGCATGATTGCCCAGCAAAATGTCTACCTTAGGGTGAACCTTGAACACATGCACAGAATTGAACTTTTGGCCTTCCAAGAGGATATTGGAAGTAGACAAGGGTTTCCTGAAAGCCAGAGCAAGGACAGAAAAGCAGAACAAATTACAAGAATGGGGAGGAAGGGTGGCAGCTGATCTTACTGAAGGCCATTGCATAGAGACCAGTTCATGGAGCACAGTGCTGG